TTGCTACTGGCTGGGCGGGGGGGGTACACGGGGAGGGGGGGGGACATGCAGCAGATAAATTACAGGGGAGGTGGGAGCTGGGCTGGGGCTCAGCACGGGGCTGGGAGGGAGCTACCTGAGAGTGGTAACCCCTAGATACAAGCACTGGTGTGGAGACCCCCACCGTGATGGGTCTGCAGCCCCCCCACCCTCCGCCGTTGGCACGTCCCGGCTCTCCCCTAGTCCTGGAAGCGGTTGAGGAGGTCGCAGGTTTTCTTCTCCATCAGCTCGTAGATCTTCTTCACCCGCTTGTCGTTGGCCGCCCGGACGTAGCTGCTGGGGTCCAGCGTGGCCATGCCGTCGTGCACCTCGCCCATGATGATGAGGGGCCCGTCCTCCGCCGTCATGTTGGGGCAGGGGCAGCTCCAGTCCATGTCGGTCAAGGTCACCTCCAGGTACTTGATGTTGAAGAACTTGAGGCCCATCTTCTCGTCCTTGAGGACGTCCTCCAGGGCGAAGCGGGCGATGCCGGAGTCCTGGTCCTCCACGATCTCCATCAGGCGGCCCACGATGGCGAAGTCGCTGCGGCAGAGGCTCAGCACCATCTTGCTCTTCAGGCGGCAGGCCTTGCACTGCAGGCTCTTGGGGAAGGGGCAGACGTCCTCGCAGGTCTCCTTGCTCTCGAAGTTGTTGGTGTTGCCCTCGCAGCCGCCGTAGACGAAGGAGTGGCACTGCTTGAGGAGGTGGTTGTAGGCCCAGCGGGGCTCCCAGTTCTGGCAGGGCCCCTGCACCATGGGCAGCAGGCAGGTGGGGCGGGCGCTGCCCAGGCAGGCGGCCCGGCACTCCTCGTAGGTCTCGAAATGGTTCCTGTTGGCCCCGCAGCCCCCGTAGCGGAAGGGATGGTTGTAGGCCCAGCGGGGCTCCCAGTTCTGGCAGGGCCCCTGCACCATGGGCAGCAGGCAGGTGGGGCGGGCGCTGCCCAGGCAGGCGGCCCGGCACTCCTCGTAGGTCTCGAAATGGTTCCTGTTGGCCCCGCAGCCCCCGTAGCGGAAGGTGAGGCAGGAGCCCTGCTTGGCGTCGAAGTGCCAGCGCACCTCCAGGGCCTCGCAGCGCCGCCGGTCCGGCTCCTTCAGGCACTCGGCGCTGGGGAAGGGCTGGGGGCTGCTGGCCCGCGGGGCGCCCCCCGGCTCCCTCCTCACCACCGACAGCGGGAAGTCGGCGCGCAGCAGCCCGGCGGCGTTGCGGGCTGTGCAGGTGTAGATGCCAGCATCCTCGTGGCGGGCGTTGTAGATGACCAGCTGGCCGATGTTGGTGACCACCACGTTGCCGTACATCTGGTCCGGCCGCATGATGAAGTTCTCCTCCCGCTCGCTCTGCTTCTCCCAGGTGATGTCGGGCCGGGGGCGGCCGCTGACGTCGCAGCGGAAGCTGACGGTGCCCCCGGCCCGCACTGACTGGTGGAAGGGGTTGCTGTAGAGCGCGGGGGGCACCGGCACCTCGGGGCCGGCCCCCGGCGTGGGGCGCGCCGTCGTCTCCTGGGGCACGGGGCTGGTGTCGGGCCAGGTGAAGATGTGCTTGCAGGGGACGGTGGTGAGGCGGGTGCCGCGCAGGCAGGCCTCGGCGTCCATGTAGCACTTGTTGTAGTAGGTGAGGCCGTCGGAGGCGCAGGTGAAGTTGGGCTCCTTCTCGCAGCGGTCCTTGCACTTGCAGACGGGCTGCCCGTCCCAGATGTCGCAGTCGGAGCCCTGCTGGGCGCACACGAAGCTCTCGCAGGAGGCGGCGGGCGCCAGTGCCAGCGCCGGGAGGCTGCCGTCGGCGAAGCGGGCGGCCACGCAGCTCCGCAGCCCGCACACGTTGGTGCAGCACTTCTCAAAGCCTTCGCAGTCCTGGCCGTGGGGCAGGGGGAGAGGGAATGGCAGGGGGGACGTGGAGGTCAGCGCCGTGCTGTGGGTGCTGCTCCCCACCCCGTGATTTCAGGTGGGCTGTGTCCCCCGCGCATCCCTCTGCACCCCCAGCATTGCTGGGCTTGGGGTAGGAGCACCCCAGAATGGCTGCGCTGGCCCCAGCCCACCCTCAGCCCCCTCCCCATGCTCCCCCCCGCAGG